ATGAATATTTTGTTTAATAGAAATTACATATTAACTTTAATATAAAATTCAAAGTTTTTAATATTCAGGAAGTATGGACGTAAAATAAATAATCGATTAAAATAATCGACATCCTCGATAAGTTCATGTCATAGGAATATAATGGGGTTCGAGTCTCCGGCTATAAATTGGTATAACCTATACGTTACAAAGTTCCTCCTGATTTCATTTGTAACTATTCACCTTACCTTATAAGGGAAAACGCGTTTAATCAGTGAACACTTCATTTTCTACGTTTGAGGTAAAATTTTTATAAATTAAAACAATGTCTGATCCTCGTATAAGAATTTTAAAAATTAAGACTGGAGTAGTGAAACGTCTCGCGAAAGAAAAAGTCACGTATGAGAAAGAAGCAGAAAAGCAACGTGAAAGGATAGAAAAATTAAAACAACAGGGTGAGGATATTTTTGAAAAATGCAGTGTAATGCCTTTTATACATTTCTGTTACTCTGATCCGTTTAATTGCTTCCGGATATTTTGCATTCTTTTTTTAAGCACCGATATGTTTCATCAAAAACGTGACATATCGTTTCTTGTAATGCTTATAGACATATTCAAAAAATTTATAATTATTTCAGTCTTTACCAAAGACAATCATTTTTAGATTATTTCAATTTTATTACAGATAAAGATGGTTATGACATAAAGAAGCAAGAAGAGGTACTTCAAGAATCACTTATGATGGTGCCAGATTGCCAAAGACGTCTAGTAAAAGCATTTGAGGAACTTAAGAAAATTTTGGAAACAGAGCAAGATTTGAAAGAGGTTGGAGATTATATAGAAGCAGAAAGAGTATTAAAAGAAGCAGAAGCAGAACTTCCTAAGGACGGAGAAATTATGCAGATGTGTTAAGAAGCAAAGCCTACTAACCTTATTAAGATACTGTCAAAAGTTGAAAGAACTATATTTTCATCTAACATACAATTTGTAAACAAGTTAAAATAATCATTTAATGCATAAAGAAAGTGATAGTGTTAAGATATTTTATATTTCTTCAAATTAAATATTAATTTTGAACAATTATGTTCAATGATCAAAGTTTTTTAGATGGTCCTACACAAAGCTATATGGACCCATATTATAATATGTCTCATCCAATGAATCAATCTATTTATAATGCAAATTATAATATGAATGTATATCAAAATTATATTTATCCAGTTAGTGGAACATCTAATAATGCTAATGAGAATGCTACATATAGTAATGCAAGAAAACGACAAGCTGATGAGGAAGATATTGAAAATTTTCTCCTAGAAGTTGATCAATCTACTAACATAGATGACCAGAGAAATATACGCAGAAAATCTAAAATTGCTATAACAAAAAATGCTATAACATCAGCATATAAGTTAAATGAAAAATTGAAAGCAATTTGTGCAGAGCTCAAAGATTGTCAAAATTTAACAGAAGAAGAATGGCAACAAAAGATGAGTATCTGCAATGCAGCAAAAGAAGAAATTGTTAAATTATTAGAGCCTATTAGAGACCAAACATTTTTAAATCAGTTACAAAAAGATTTAGAAAGAAGGAAGAAAAAAAGATTAAGAGAAAAAATGAAAAAAGAGAAATGGAGAAATGAGAAATTAATAATAATGGAAAGGAGAGCTAGAATGCATGCACAAATTGATTCATGGATTAGGAAAGAACAAGCTGTAATAGAGAAAGAAAAGCAAGAAGAAAATTTACGTAAAGATGCTGACATGATTTTATTTGATGTTAGAGGAAAGCGAAATGATGCTAGAAAATATCTTGGATTGCTGCAGGAATTACGAAATTTGCGGAATGTTAAAGCAAATATTGCCAGAGCAAGAGGGGAACATTTATCTTTAGCAGCTGATGAAACATTTAATAATATTATTGGTACTATTATATTATAAATATTAAACATTCATAATAAATGTTTTAAGAATTACATTAATAGATATACCGTTTTTGTGCAGCAAAGTTAACAGAACAGTGGACAAAGCTTGATCGTGAATATTCTATAGAAGAACAAGGTTTAAAATTAATGTTAAAGACTGATAATGAAAAGAGAATTGAAAAACAGAAGAAGAATCTTTTTGATGAATGGGAGAAAGTACTATTTGGAAGAAAAATAACATCTGATCAGTATAATACAGACTTAACTAATTTTATTACTATAAGGTAAATACGTTACTGTCATTAAACAGTGTTTAATTGTAACATTTTAATTTCATCTTAACATAATCCACTTGTTTCTAGAACTGCCTGGGATAAGTATATAAGTTCAGATAGCGATGCATCCGCAATTCCAATTGGATGGGTAATGCCTGAAATACCATCCTCTGCTGCCTGGCAAAAATGTCTTAAAAAAGAAGTTTCATGAAATAAATTAATAACACACAATTTTAGATCCTAGTTTACAAAAATAACTTCAATTTCATTAATAATTTATACTGTATAAACATAAACGTTGTGCATTATACGCATTTAAGTGTATTTTAAGAAAAGTGAAAACTTCTCTGGTCTACTACTGACTGTAGTTATGTGTTATGATTTTAACGTTTTAGGAACTGAAAACATGTGACATATAATGTTTTGATTTTATTAAAATATGTATGAAAAGTATGTACAGATTTTTCTATGATACATGAGTGAAAGAGTGCACTATATTATATTCATGCTACACTTAAAATTATATTTTTTTGAGCTGCACTTGAAGCTTCCAATGTTTGTGTATCTTTTACTGGTGCAGGAAGTGTACTTTCTGCAGCAGATAGTATCATATGTAATTTTCCTTGCAATTCTGATAATGCTAGTATTAAGTTTTCTTCTTCTTCCAACTTTGCTGCTAAAAGACTAAACATTTTTCGTGGTTCTGCCGCAAGTTCATCTAACTTATCTTCATAGACATCTATTGAGAAATAGTGTTATATAAATAAAACATATTCTTACAAATATAAATACTTTCTACAAGTTACACGTAAAAAAAGTGACAACATACCCATTAATACATCAGCGACGTGAAGCAACACTCTTCCAAACCGAACACTTCCTATATATTTGTTCAAAAATTTAAGAATACTTCCAAGAGACTTGCCATCTCTGCCACTAAGAGCTTGTTTTAAACCCTGTCTCCTGATAAGCTCTTGCATAAGTGCAACCGTAACATGCGGTGCTTTGCTTACCACATAAGTTATCATAACACTGTCCAAGGCTTTAGAATATTGAAATTTTCTTAAACAGGTATCATGTCTGGACATAATTTCTTTCATTTCTTCTTGTACAACAATATCTACTTGAGGTGTGTGGATGTTTTTTCCTGAGTGTCTGTATGATACCTTTTTACGTTGTGGCTTTTCAGTTTTTACATCTTCCTCTCTTCTTCTCACAGAAATTAAACCATCAACCATACCAGCTACTATGGTTTCATCATTTGACTGCAATTATAAGCAATGTTTAATGTATTTGAAATACTATTAAAAATGCAAAATTAAATAATTTTTTCTTACACTAATTCCTATGCTAAGAACTGCATTTGGATAATCTAAAGAATGAACAGTTTTGTATGTCCCAGAATCATAAATTTTTACATGTCTATCCAATGAACCAGACAAAATTCTGCGACCATTTGAAGCTATCTTTAAACATGTCACAGTTTTATGATGTTGAGTAATTTTGGCAAGTAATCTGCCACCAGCAAGTGCATCCCACACTTTAATGTCTGTACCACCTGTTTATAATTATGAAACATATTTTATTATATATATTCTTTTATAAAAGTATTATATTACTTCAAAATAATATACCTGCAGACAAGAATATTCCACCAGAAGGTAAAAATAATAAGCTTTCAACAGGAGCTTCATGACTCACACTAAGAATTTTCTTGTCTGTTCTTGCATCGTACATATGTATGTGTTTATCATAGCCTCCAGATAACAATATGTCTGTGGAAATAGGACTAACTGCACCAGCTCTGATGTAGTCTGAATGTTCACTGAAAGATTTTATTTGCTTTTCATTAGGTATATCCCAAATAGCTACAGTCTTGTCATCAGAAAATGAAGCAATATGAAGATTATCAGCAGTGAAGAAAGTTCTGTGCACAGAAGCTTTGTGTCCAGAAAAAATTCGAAGAAGACTTTTTGTGTTGACATCAAACAGTCTAATTACTGATTCTTCACCACCAGCACAGAGTAGTTTGCCATCACTACGAAAGGAGCCACCATAAGCACTTTCTTTAAATCTGCTAAGATTTTTTGTAACTAGTTTTGTAATTGGGTTATACACCTGTACTCTTACTGAACAAGTGACAGCAAAATAATGAGGTTCTACTGGTGAAAAATCGATATAATCGATTGCCCCAAATTCCTTAACTAAAACTGGAGCCTGTTAAATAAATGACATAAAAATTAATCATAAATTTTAATTAATAATAGTAATCTTAAACATTGTTTGTTAGGTTAAGTCCTACACACGTGGATATGCCAAATTAACCGATGTAGTATCAGTGTAGAAAAATTTGAATTACTTTTATCATTATAACATACTTACACTATACTTTTTCCAGTATATACTGTCGGGAGTTAATTCAGGTCCTGTTCTTGCAAATACTTTAGTATTTATTTTCTTGAAGGACGCCATTTCTTTCAAAATGTCAGCTGTAATAAAATTCAGTAGAGGGGGTAAACTTCTCCTGTTGACAATTGATGGAAGTGGCTCTCTTCGATTTTCGTGATTGTTCAAGGGTCTGTTTGTCCTTTGCAATTGTTAAACACAGAAACTCTTGAAAAGCATTTTGGAAGAATTCGGATCGATATGTTTGGAAGATTTCAGTGTGCTTTGTTAAATTTTCTATGGTTTTGCTGCTCGTTTCAATATGGCGATGGTTAGTTGCTTAGTGCTTCAAAGGTCTCTTTACTTATCATGAATTTTGTGGTTTTTCTTTCTATTTCTTTGTATAATTTGTATACGAAGCCTTGATGTTCATATTATTATCTATAAGTGCACACGGATTATATAATTATGAAGCTGTGCATCTGATAAAGAAAGGATTTCATCCGAAAAGTTTCGCTTAGACAGCACGATAGATACGGCGATTGCCGTCCTACTAAGGTTTGTTATATTTTATAAATAATCACTAAAATATACGTATTTATAAGGGTATCCGAAAATTTTCGGAATCGACAAGCTTTTGTTATTTTAAAAAAAAGTGTAAAAAAATTTTAAAGCTTAATTTTGTTACAGTCAGAGAAGAATTGCTGCCAAGATAGTTTCTTGTTATTTCACTGCATACCAGCCACGTTTATAAATATTTCACCAGATGAGATTGGAATTTCCTTTAACAGTGTTGAATACTTATTTTGGATACTTTGGTTTTCCAACATTGTTTGGAGGATTTATTGATCATGACAATGATCATATTAATGTATGAACATAAACAACATTTTTGAATTAACAGTTCCTTCTTAGAAGTCAAACAAAGAAAGTTTGGCTTTGCTTATAATGACAGGAACATGTATCAATGTTCCATCTAGATAGAACAATTTAATTGGGTATAATAGTCAAAGATATTTAATATAATATTCTTGAGGCTATATTGTTAAAAATAATCTCAGATATTATATACACAAGGGTAGTTGCAACAAATTACCCAAAAATTTTATATACAACAACAATTAATTATTCTAACATATATTAATAAATTATAAAATTTTGGACACAATGGCTGAAACACAGAGAATGACTGTTTATGGTAGACATCCTCCCTGTGCAAGTGGAACTCGTTTGGAGGAACGTCGTGCTAGAAGGTAAACTATAAAATGTAGTGAAATAGACATCATTTATAAAATTGGTATATATTACAATTTACTATTTTAAGAAATTCTTATTACAAACAATGTTTTAATTCCTTGTTGTTTTAGATTAGCCTTAAGGTTGGAAAGAAACAGAAAATCGGACAAGCCAGATGATTTTATTTGTTATGAATCAAGTGATGATGAAGCAGAAACTGTAAGCGAAGGAAAACAATTTTTAAGAACTTCTTTTAATTTTGTGGATTATGTACGTGCAAGAGAGACAAATACAAGGGAAGTGAGAAAAATTAATCAAGAATATGGGTTTCGACATATATTAACTCATGATCTATTTAAAGAATATTCTATTAGTTTAACTAATATGAATAAAGTCTTTTGTTCTCAATGGTTAAGTGATAGGCAAGTAGTATTTGGTACAAAATGCAACAAATTGATGGTGTATGATGTAGCAACACAAAAATTAGATCAAATACCATCTCTACATGGAAGGCAAATAAATTCTGGAGGTGGTGCTGTTCCTGAGCAGCAATGTGGCATACATTCTGTTCAAATTAATCCTTCAAGGTATATAATTGTAAAAATTTTAATGAAAATTCGTAACTTTTTATTGTTACTCTTGCTTATAATTCTATATACATTACAGAACTCTTTTATCTACTGGGGCGAGAAATAGCAATGAATTAGCAATATATAGGCTACCAACACTAGATCCAGTTTGTGTAGGAGAAGGTGGACATAGAGATTGGATTTTTGACATGTGTTGGTTAGATGATGAATTTTTAGTTTCTGGTTCTAGAGATACCAAAATGGCTTTATGGCGTATAGACAATGATCTTGCAGAAGCTCCTGACAAAGCAGATGATTAGGTTGATTCAACCTGTATGTGTTAAAGAGTGTAGATCTGCGCAAAAAGTACGAGCTCTCGTCTTCAATAGAACATATAAAGAAATTGCCGCTATTACCCTGAATAATTTCATACACATTTGGTCTGCAGAGACATTCAGACAAAAAATATCTAGAAAGTTACCAGTTTGTCAGGAAAATGTTTGCCTTGCTGTACAAGATGATGGTGTTTATGCAGTAGGATGTCGATCTTATACCTTACTTTTAGATGCAAGAACTGTACAACCGATAAAAAGAATACCTTCCCGGTATGTAATATCTTTTACTTTCTTTAAATGTTTTAAAAATTGCTACCTTTGCAAAATATGTTGTGTACCGGTATCTTTTGTGCAGGTATAGCGGCTGTGGAATCCGGTCAGTTAGTTTTCAAGGTTCTGTTTTAACAATTGGAACAGGATTAGGAATGATGTTCTTTTATGATGTTAGGGCTCAAAAGTATCTCGAGTCATCAATTAATTCTAACAGAACTGTTGTATTAAAAGCATCAAAAGGATACGTGGTATGCTTTTAGATTTACTTCTTTTATATATATATTTAAATTTTTTTGGTATGCATATATTAGCTTTCATGGTAATTTTAGTTCCCAGATGAAGAATACATCGATGGATTCCAAAATGTGAAGTATACACCTGCTATATATACTCATTGCTACGATGGATCAGGAACTCGGTTATTCACAGCTGGTGGACCTCTTCCCGTAAATCTTTATGGTAACTATGCAGGATTATGGCAATAAAGTTAATTTTAATTGAATAAAGACCCGCATCGATTTTTACGTAAGTAACTATAAGTTGTACATTTAACTAAGCATTATTAAGATTTTATCTGAGGAGGTATATACACCTATTTTAGAGTTAAGAAACATTTTCTAATCACAGTGATCTTGTATTTTCATGTTTACATAGTCTCATTTCATTTCGATTTTATTACACACAGAATGAAGTAAACAAATTTTATTTTATTTAGACATTAAAATTTTAAACTCATTGATATACACTTTTCAAACATTTTTATACTACATGAACAAATAAGACAGTAGAAAAATGTAGCCGAAAAACATCTTAGAGGTGTATATATCTCGACTGCCTGAAAAATAAGTGATAAAAATTAAAATAAAGATATCAGATTTTTATCGTTTGAATCGTGTATTCAACCCTGAAAGTGGTTTTTATTTCGTAGATTTATTTTACTAAGCAGTTATATTAGCATGTTTGTATGTCAGTATGAAAGAAGCCAAAATTTTAGTTATGTATTAAAAATCAGTTATGTGGTAAATTTTGATTTTATGATTGATGTGATTTATAACATGAATTTATTATCTACTTATGATCAAGTTGTTGAGCTAATTTTCTTCATCATTTAATATAAAAATTTGCACTAATATTAACTATCATATACGAAATTTAACAAACTATTGAATGAGGATTTCCCTTATGGTGTAATACAAATGACATTTGAAAAAAAGCACTTCATAAATTACAGATACTGATTTCAATCACTATATTGTTTGCATATAGTGTGATTTTTTAAATGGTCTTCATAATCTGTGTTGTACATCTCTACATCAGTCTGATAGAAATGAAAATTTAGAAAAGTAATCAACGAATGATGCTGCAATGAACATTAAGTTTATCAGATACAATCTATCAAGTTGAAATTTTAATACTGGCCTTAGAAGAACAATATACAATGAATATTTGTTACAAAAAACTTATTTTAGAAAAACAATATCTATTAAAGCCTTTATAATGTATTTCTGTATTACATAGTAGAATTTCAAACATGTATAATTTTTTATCAATGCATGAACTATGAAGTAATATTTTATAAATGTGCATGGCAATTTTAATTATAATACTACAGTATAATTAGAATATACAAAGATGCAGTGCAGATATTTGAAATTATAACTGCTCAAATTTCATTAAACTCATTACTCATGTGTTAATAACTTTATGATATTGAAATGTTAATGAACATCAGCTGTGCACATTTACAATTGGACATAATGATACACGACCTGTGATTATACAAATGTGTTTCTTGTGTGCAATTAAAACAAAATTTTGTTTGACAAACGTACCTTTTGTGAATGAAGTATTATTGTAATGATGTCAATTGTGTACTAAACTATTTGCACATTAGATCGAACATATTTATATTTGTTTTTTTTTTTTCTTAATTAACGATGCTCGAATTTTGGTGTACTTAAGTGATAAAGTTCACCATTGTGTTTGTCACTGTCTTACATATTAAATCTGTTGATGCAGTAAAGATGCAAGTGCATATTCAATATTTAGGATAGAACATTTTAATGGATCAAGAAATTGTTGACATGTAAACAATAAGTAATTGAATTATTAGTATATCATGATGAATGTATGAAAACAAAATATATTCTGTGTGCTTGTAAATTGACAGATTATAAATTGTTGGCATATATTCATGAAGTCATTACATTACATAATAAATAAAAATGTGTGTTGTATCTACAAATTCGTAATTAGACTGTACGAACGTTTATGTGATCATGCATAATGAACGAATACATTGAATACATTTTAACACAATTATCACATGTACTTTTACCATAAATACTACAAACAAAATATTTATAAAACAACGCTACAAAATACCCCTAATTTTGTTTCTAATATCTGCAGTAATTTCGTGCATTTTCAATATACACTTTAACGATAATTATTGAATTCAACTCAAGAAGTTCATTGTTTTCATGTAAACTATTTCAAGCGATACCGAGCAACTATTGTCCATATTAAAACGTCCTAATTTTCATGCTAACGTCACTTAAGCAGAACAAATCTAAGTATCGTGTATTTTAACTCAAATAATGCAATAGTATAAAAGTATAAATAAATAATTTTTATACTTAAACTATATGTATAAGTTATAAAAAAAGTTTTGTACAGGTATAATCACTGCATCACTGTATCAGGAAACATTCTTTCATGTATTATGCTTCACCATATGAAAATTGCAAGAAATTTTTGTGAAAATTATAATATATTAGAACAACTTCAGAATAGTTGTCCTTGTATTTCTTAACAATTTTCCTCAGTTTCATCAACTTTTTTTCTGTGAAATGTGTTACATGTATAATATGTTTTCTTTGTACTAAAGAAAGTATGGTTAAGTTTGTAATATACGGGATATACCTAGAATTGTGGTACAATCGAAAAGAGAGCTATTCCTCGTGCAAAAGTAAAACAAATATTTTATTTGCACAAGGAATCGATTATACCACGATTTCGGCTACATCCTGTATTATTCATTATGGTTGTGTTTTTATTAGATCTGTAGCAAAATGTTATTTCAAAAATTATTTATCACCTATGTTAAGAATATAGGGACAATGTATAAATTGCTTCTTAAGCTTTTAGACTTTTGTTTTAAAAATTTATGTCATTTTTTATTGTTAGAAAACTACCCATTGCAATTAATGTATGTATAGAAATTTTTCATAAGTTACAACTAGCTTATTCTTGTTTCTCTTTTTTTCTTCATCAAAGTATTGTACCGATTTTTAGCAAATATATACAAGATTTTGCTAGAATCAATTATGTCACGAAGCTACGTTATTTCTGTATTTTTATTTGATACTTTAAACGTTAAAATATTTCTTACAAACAGTGCTAGTTGGACAGTGAATAGAGACTAAACTTACAACATTGTAATATTATGTGTGTGTGTGTGTGTGTGCGCGTGTGCGTGATTACGTTAAGTAATCCATGTAAATAAATATACCAAATTATTAATCGAAGCTATTTTTATCAATTTCTTTCTTTTTTTTTTTAAATGAAAGAAGTTAAATGCCTAGAAAAAAGAGAACATTCGTATCCTTACAAATAATTTATTCATAGTATATCGATACAAGATTTTCATTTTCATTTAGAATCATCACAAATAACGTGTAAAGTGTGTATAATGCATACAAAACACGCGAAACTGCGACATATTTGTAGTACATGTGATGTAAATGTTTTATATTTATTTATTTATTTATTTTCAATTTAATTATCAAGGCTTTTGCCAGGACTATATTCGATATGTTGTGTTTATTATGTGTGTCGAAAATGTACCAAGGCGCGCAAATATGGATAAAAACGAAGGGCAATCCGTCTTTATAGATGGCCACACGTCGATATGTCAGAGTTATAGCTCTTTGACGAGTGAGAGATTATTATATACCTTCAAAAGGATTTCTCGGAGCACGTATCTCTATTAGTTTTGATCTCAGCGGTGATAAATTGCTTCTTTTACGCGCTATTCTGTCAGGGATTAACGGAGTCATTTTTCTACCATCTCGTTACTAGGAGCCCGTTTTCGGGCGTTAAATAAGCTCATTTCTTTTTGGTATAGATTGACAGTTGGTATCTCCTAACGCGTGAGTATCGTAAATAAATATACACTGATCGTAACAATATACATTCTGAAAATAAATAGAGTATTTCACAATTATTGCATAAAATTGGTGAGCACTACTCATGTGAAGTCATTCGATTATTCCTACAAGGAACATCGTCGTGTCTCGAAAGCGTTTCCTTCTGTCGAAAACATATTCGTTTCTCTTACAATCGTTTACACAGGCGATCGAGTAAGTAACTGGTACCACACATGTATACGCGAACTTCGTGGTTTTCTTTTTTTCTTTTTGTCAATAATAATCAGGAAAGAAACGCGTTACATTCTTCTCTTGAAATCGTAACAACGTCTCAGCAAGTACGCGTTTTAAGCGCAAGTAAACGCAAGCATGCGCTTAAAAATGAATCAAAGATGACCAGCATCCAAGGCCTTATTTATATCACTAACTAGCATCCCGAGGACAGGTCTGTGTTCCGAGTCTTGCCTAAACACGGAGTCCAAGAAGTCGGAATGCGTTAAGAAATCGAACACCTGATCACACCGATCCTGCGACTTGTCTGTTAGGTGTGGCTTTATGAGCGTCTGTATCGCGGTTCTACATCGTTCCAGCGACTTTATCAAATACGCTCTGTCGAAACTGAATTCCAATTCGTAAAACGAGACCACAGACATCGCTACAGCTCTAAGTGCAGTCCTTATTTCAGCGAGTTTTACATCGTCGGCCACGTTTAATTGTTGATTACGCTGTAGAAGACCCACCTGTAATAGAAGTATTAAATATACATGAAAAAAAGAGCCCCACTTAGTCTTACTTTGCATATCTATGTCAACAGCCATTGAAAGAGAGAAGGAGTGGACTAATACCTTAATGGACAATTTAACAATATTCTTTAAAACCTTTTCAGGCTGCTTTTTGTCCAAGTTAGGATTGCTTTTCGTGGCTCTTTCCATCAGCTTGTAAAGATTGTCCAAAAGTGACGTGGTCGCATCATCTATCAGCAATGATCTTCCGGCCCCTGTAGATACGACTCTGCCGAGTAATTTTTTCTGCGCTCGAAGACCTAAATCACGAGCGCGGCTTCCGGTGCCTCCGGCGGGATAAGATCCGCCGTTCAGTGTAGTCGCCGACTGCATCACTGGGAGAAAAAAAATTGCACGAGCTGTACCATCTGCTAGACGAGATATGGATTGAATAATGGACCCTCTGTTAGGCGAAAAGACCGACTTGTGGAAATGCTGCACACAGTATGTTAGAATGGCTGATCTAAACTTTAGATAACAATTCTACTTTATCAATTGCAACGAGAAAAAAAAAGTGTTCACGTTCAATGCAATTATGGACTTATCAAGAGTATTGTTACAATACCCTTAATCACTTAAGTGTTTTTCACAAATATTAATCATCATTTTTATGCCAAAGTGTGCATACAGAATGGAATTAAAATTAGCCTACTAGAATAAAAATTTCTTACAATGAAATATAAAAGTGAAATATTATTTCTTGTGAACGATGTGGCAAAAAATAAACAGGTCTTAAATGCTCCCGAAATAGAGAACCGTAACATGTGTCTCAACTGTAAGCGAACCGTTTCCGAACACATGTTAGTAAGACCTTTTTTTCTTTCTTTCCTTTCTTTATTGTCTTGACATGTAAAATTCATATCCAAAGTTTTGGTCATCCTTTTCGATGCACTCTGTGTAAATACATTTATTAATACTTGGTATAATGTAAAATCTGAATGATTGAAGTTTGCGATGTTTACGATTAAAATGCAGCTATCTTATCAACTTATCGGAATGAAAATTGTGAAAACGATAGTATAACGTGTGCATGATCAGAACTTACCATCAAACATTGGTAGACCGCTGTTTCCTCTAGGCGATAACGGGATTGTGAATGAAATAAAGAAGTGTTCTGTGAGCACGGTTGAAACTCAGGCAAAAGTAACTAAAATAACCAAGGGTGTAAAAATGAATCGGTAATTGGCGTATAAATATATGTATAAAATAATTAGATTAAGAAATTAAGTTGGCAACAGACAATTATGTTGCGCTATGTGCAAATGCAATTCGTTCGTATACGTGTTCTTGTTTGATGAGAACGAATGAGAGCATTATACAGTTAACATTTGTGTACCTTGATTGCAGTCGGTTACGGCTACAAGATGATAGAGCAGCCAGCTCTGCAATTCCATCACTGCCGTACCCCACGCCACCTGAAAAAATATTGTCCTCTGATACCTTTTATCTTATTTTTAGTACTCGATTCAAAAGGAAGAAATACTGTGCACAATTTTTTTTTTCTTTTTTTTTAATATTTCTTTGTATAAATAGTCATTTTAATCTATTTTTTATATAAAAAATATAATTCTACCGAAACTTTTTTTTAAGGAATTAATACTAGATGATATTGGTAATAGACGAGATTTTTTAATTATAAACAGAAGTTTTGCATGAATTGTATTCCAGTTTGTTATTCAATTAGCGTTGCTTTCAAAGTAACGTTAACACACATTCCATGCCGCGAGTGTCATCGACCACCCACTATGTTCATTAGAAGCAAAACGCTCGATCGGTAACCGAGATATCGTTTTACTTAATATAAAAATTGCACATACGAAAACCGTTCGTATAAACGAAATATCCCAATTTGACAATTATTCGTATAAAAATTTCATCGTTGAGTTCCACTTTTCTTTTTGCCCCAGAATAAGCTAAAAATTACCATTGTAAAACGACTAAAAACGATCGGTGTAAGTTCGTGGCGGGCAAGTGATTAAATAGGTTGGGGCACACATGCTCCCTCATTCGTGTAATTTGTGTCAGTAACTGAGGTCAAGCCCGATACATTGGAAATGGAACGTAATGTGCGTGTGGTTTGTTGTCACGGGTCATAACCGTGTATACAACATGTATGATATATATATTGTATATATATGTATACATATCGAAGAGGCATAGGACCGTATGGAAGTTGGATCGATTTGTAAGGAGCGTCAAGGCGAGCCAGAGACTCTCATTCTCGTTTGTCGACGTAATCGGGGCAAATGGATACGCGCGACGGGACATTATATACCTACTTACATCTCGATACACACACGGGCCAAGCGCGCGTATTTCGAGAACGTGACGAACACCAATATCGGTCGAGCGTCGGCCATCTCAAAATTTCCTGCCATTTGACCCGAATGCGAACCTTCAAGGATCTTCGAGTATTCGAACGATCTTGTGGCACTCGACAACGTGAAGTAGCGCTTTTGAGCGAGTTATCGAAACGGTGTAACGTATATCCTAAATCGTTCGAGATGCTTGTGTAATTCGAGATCACTCGAACGCTACCGATGCGATGGGTAAAGGTTACTAATTCGATAATGCAGATTCGCAGTTCAAAGTAAAATGAAATTGAAAGATTCGAAACATCTTTTATCCGTTATTTACCGAAGTTAAAAGTAATGTTTATGATAATATTAAAAGAATCGTTAAAATTTTGCTTACTAATCTGTGTTTAACTGTTGTACCGACTGTTTGCGATGCAACTAACACTTGATTTGCACGATGATACTTAAATTGTACGGTTTTTAATGACGATTACTACATACATACTGGGAAAGAGAAAACGCTATTTAACAAGCAAAGGAGATAAGTACAGAGTGAACTGTTAATTCCACAAACCGTGTAGATCGTATATACGGAACATTTTTTGCTGCGCATAATTTTCTACGTTAATCAAATATAATTTTATTATTTATAAAAATGAATTCTTTAATTAGTTACGTGTATCCTTGATTTATAATAAAAGTATAATATAAATTTATACGTTTTTAATTTACATTGTATAAATTAACTATGAAAATCGAGAGTTAGCTGTATGTATACGTATGACTAAAGTAGTTGAGTGTGCAGGCTTTATCATTCGATACCGTCGTAATTAGCGGTTACCTACATACCACTAATTCATATACATTATTGCTTATGTAAGCATCAAGTGCACTTCTAACATGTCCTTTCCCCGCCGTGTAAGAAGAAAATTAAATTCCCGTCGGAAAGGGATTTTAATTGATGTATCGAGGGACTCGGTAAAGTTGTTCACGAGGAAACAAGTGATCGATCGCACAGGAGGACTTTCGCTCTCTTCGCTTTCGGCCGTTTCCCAACTACAATCGATCGAGTTACTACGCGCGCCAATTAGGCTCTCGTTCGAGTGGCCATATTAAGAGCTTTATTCGCTGTTTAACGTCGTTAAATTTTAGAACGTTTATTATTTATTCCTGCACGTTTCACAAATTCTTTCACCAATAACACACACATTATACACGCTTTATTTCGTCCACGAGATTTCTATAATTGGATTATATTTTCTAAAGTGTTCTACTTTCTTTTATTTAAACGACGCCAGACGCACAGGTTAAGGAACTACATTACTTCGTAACAGTTTTCCGGACATAGAAGTATATGGATGTTATATATTGTTGCTATAACCTACTCTCGGTCAACATATTGTTTACTATCGGGACTCTATTCAAGCTGATCTCAGAAAATTCGATTGCATAAAACGAGACAAGAGCTAAGGTGCCGAGTGAAATTTACGGCTTCCGGTAGTACCTTAAAAGCAGGTCAAAAGATTCTATTCTTGATCTTTATCTGAGCGAGATTACCACTCTCCCATGGAATTTCCCGCAATTTCGTCTGTTCTTTTTCCTCTTTCACTTCGACGTCAAATACATACAGAATATACTTCCGTCGAATGCAGTGAGTCATCAGTGACTAATAAATTGTTAGCTTATTGATACGACCTATAACCAGGATTACTTGCACAATAAATAATACATTAACCTAACAAAATATTTCCAAATAATTCTAAGTAGAAAATTTAAAAAAGATTAGGTTTATAAATATCTTCGTTTAAAATTTTAAAAAATATAGAAAAATAATTGAAAAATGCAGATGGTCATGAAAACAGGTAAAATTCCCAGCAGGTTGGAAATTCGTCATTTCTATAATTAGTTATGCGCTTGGTATTATCACGATATGTCGAAGGACATAACCAACAACCCACGTTTCTCGATGTATACGCGAACCTAATTTTTCTATGTTAAGAACATGCACGCGTTGTGCATGCAGGCAACGCTCCTGTTTCTTGCCTGCTTGAAAAAAAAAATCGAAATTTACGTACATGCAATCTTTTTCGCATTGCGTCGTATTCAACAAACGAATTTGAATTTAGAAAGGCAGTTTTCACATGCAGTCCAATCAACGAAATTCTTTCGTTCTAATTCTATAATTCGACGAAATAGCGATGTGAAAGAAATACATCTTCTATTGTTTATTCCATCGAATGCAGTGATTTCTTATTTTTAATTCATTGTTGCATTTTTTATCAAACGACTCCCACAATAATTTTTACAAATAAATGGACGGTATGTACGTATTGCTTAATCAAAGCAAGCTTATATTTTCAGGAATTCGGAGTAACGAAGTATCGTAATTCTGATTAACCTATTTCGAAGTAGAAATAATATCTATTTTCTTTACATAATTTAATTTGTGAAAGTAAGGAATTCTTTTTATACGAGAGAGAGAGCACGTGAAAATGATAATTCTGTTTTACTTTGTTCGTTCAGCAGTTCGGTGTAAGGAATCATCATAACCTTCATCGAACGATTTTGGAGCGGAAATGATTATTCATCCTTTCATCATGACAGTTTTCACACGCGGTTAAAATTATTAAATTAGAGATTTCTTCGACAGATAGCACCACATGAAAATAATAAATATGGAATCTTCGATTTTGACTTATGTTTTTAACAGTTCGAGATCTCGATTTCTATTCTCCTCGAACAATTTCGGAGGGAAACTAACCTCTTACCGTTTTTAAATAACGATTTTCATATCGGGCGATATGCTTAACTTGACTTTTAAATTATTCAAAATATTCACTATGTGAAAAAAATGCATAGAACAAAAGTTACACAATTTCAAGGAAAGTATATTTTTTCTGTAAAAAAAAAAAAGACATTGCAATTGATGTTTTATTAGCTAAACAATCTTTTTCCATTACAAAGTTCTATGTGAACTGTGCATTTTTCATTTCAATTTATTTTTGAACAGTTCGAAATAACGAATTGTCGGCATTCGCACGAAACAATTTCGAATAGAGAGCCAACCCTTGTCCACTCCTCACCCCTCGATTTCCTTAACGTTTTTCTTTTTACTTCGAAAGATGCAGCTGTCACACCGACAGCTGTGCAACCGGCACGAACCTCCTTGTTAAACTGAGCATCTTGTCTGAGAATATACCCACCACCTGCCCTACGGACCGATGTGCATCTGTTTCACGTATATGCACGAACACGCATACGCAATGTACGTACGCAGCGCGCACGTGCTACACGGACAAAGTTACGAGACGGATTATGCTCTGTCCACAAAGGTCACGCGTACGTCTGTTAAATACGACTTTCGAGAGGTCCACGTTCTCGACCGTAGCAGTCGTTTTTGGATATCGATCCCGCGCGCCGCGATTCTAGCACACGCGAGATTCTCGCACGAAACGTATCCGATTTCAACTTCTTATCGTATCTCGCGAGCGAATCTCTCACTCTGCAATTGTAATCTTTCGTCGATTCTATCAAGCACGGGATTATGCCTTCGTAATATCGATCTTTCGCGTATTCCTACATTTACGACATTCGACGCCTATATACGTGTGTCAGGACGAATATTTCGAAGAAATTCACAGATAATTTGATTATTGTACAATATATATTTTCTTTGGAGAATTAATTTTTGAAAAATTGGCTTCTCTAAATTATGCGTTAATTGAAATTTATTGAAACAATTTCAAGTGAAATTTAACATTCGATTGATAAAATGCATTAAATACATAAAATCTATCTAAACTTTTGTATTTACACTTACTCAGGTTCATTTTTTTTTCATATCTGGGTAATGGAGAGATAAAGTAAGATAAATATAGAATACGTTAAAGTTTTGAATACAATCTTACTAAATAATAAGAAAATTGATATTTGAGATCTTGCAATTAATTTGAGTAGCATATATGAGTACAAAAAAACGAAGCTCGGAAAGCAAAGTTTATATCGTATCTTTCGCAGCTCTAGGGGGGACATATTTTCGTTGCTACCTCTGTTTTAAACAGGTAGTTCGTTCAAGGCCGACAATACATTCGACTCTAGGCGTGGTATAGCAATGAAATTTCAAGTTACACCAACAACCTGTCGCACGAGCCATCGTAAACAACTCCCTTATTCTTGATATTTAGAGCCAGCTTAATTATTCCGCTGTACTGAGCAAAGCTATTTTTCAAATAATTTCAAACAAATAAAAATGCATAAACCATACACGCACATAGTGCATAATAATTCAAGCAAGTTGATTGGTTGGATGTAACACGAATCAGCTCGTTAAATGCCTCAGTCGTTGGCGAGCGCACATGTGAGACGAATTCGCCGAGATGAAAATGACTGGTGAAAAAGCATACTATGGCTGTGCTAGTAATTAGAAACACCGCGGTGAGCACACGCCGCAACAACAGCCCCATTCATTGCAAGGTTACTCGTTAAAGTTACCTACTTATAGACACAGATTCCAGTAGACGGACGAAAAAGCACAATTTAAGTCAAAAAAAAGCTGTTTACCCCACACGTTTCTCTCTGCCCCTTTTTTGTTCGTCGTGAATGTGCGCGACCGCGTGGATGAAAATCATGCACCATGGAAAATTTCACGCTGTACCAATAATCGATTAATTCGCGATACCTTGGAAAGGCTTTGCCCGTTATTTTCTAAATATACACACATGGTTGTGTCACGATAGTATTATTCTAACGCTCTGCTAGTATCTGTCGCTTTCACGGTAACAGATGCACATGTAACGAATTAAGTTACACGCATCCGTTCGGCCATGACTAAGTGATGCAATTAAGCGGACTCGTCAGTTTTGCGAAACGCAATTTCCACGGGGTTACGTACTTTCCTCCTCGTGAGACTCGATGTCACGTTAAGAATGACAGCGTTGCGAAAAAACCGCCCGCTTTTTCCATTTCTGCGAGTTTTATGCCGATTATGGTCTTGACGTGTTTTTGCTTATCTCTGACTGTAGACGTATTGTTTTACTGTAAATTCTTCGAATATTTTGCCAACGTTAGTAAAAGTTAACATTTCGTGTGATATTTTTCCGAAACATAGTTTTAACCACTTAATAGTACAAAAAGTCATTTAAAAATAAGTGAATAATTTCCAAAAATAATTACGATATTAAAATGCACTATTTATATGATATCGTATCGGGCGTACGATAATTGCTGTTTTTTTCAGGAGATACAGCATTTCGAGAATAAAATTTATATCAAACGAGCTCTCTTCAATCAAACTCTATCTATTCGACGGTGAACTCTTTCGTCTCGAATCGCGTTTGAATTCTCGTTAAACGATTCCATTCGCAACGGCGGAGAAACATTTTGTTCGTATTGAATTAATTTAAATTTTAGGCGCGCACTAACCTCTGCTGATGTCTGGGTCGCGGACGCGACCCCAACACTCGACAATGAAGTTTCTCTTTTCCAACGACCGGAGGATAGATATACTGTTCTATTGTTTTCTCGGTGTTCCACTTTGTTTTGGTGTAGTTAAGGAATTCCACTAATGTGACGAAGTCCTCGAAACGTTTTACCGAACTAAATGTAATTGAACACAATACACAGGTATGCGAAAAAACAAGGAACAGCACCGGTAAGGATAGGACACGCTACTCGCGAACCTCAGTCTCCTCGAACGAACGAACGTCGTCTGTTGTGGCTGCGAACCCACCCCGGTTACCATGGAATCATCGCTCCGCGAGGTGGGGCGCATGTGGCGGCTACGCTCGGGCAATTTCGCAGTGTCAAGGAGTTTTCTTTCTCGCAGTGAGCGCTCGTTCGCCGCCAGAGTCGTTGTAGTAGTGAATGTTAACGAACGAGATATGACCACTCAACTTTTCAAATTGACGGTAGTAAAACTGTTTTTTGAGTTTAGGAATCCTATCTGCTGAACGTCCATCTTTTTTTCCATTTTTTACAAAAAACGACAAGATGATTTTTGAATTTTTATTACAATGAAGGGTAAGAATTATAACACACTTAGATATTTTTTTTCTTTTTATTAGAATTTTTAAAATTTGTATATAATGACATTTTTATGATGCATTCGAATTATGCTATTATTTTCTTTTTTATTTCTGGTATGTATTTTAAATACATATTCAACAAGTATCTCAATTGAAAGAAAACAGTTAGCTTTTTAGTATCTTAAAATCATAATACTCTTGTTAATTGACGTTTTTAGAATAACGGTTCTCAGCACAGAGAATCTGTGAGAACTGTGTAAATAGAATTTATGACAAAATGCAAAAATGTTACTTTTCCTTCATATTTTTACTCTGTGCGTTTGATATGGTATTCGGTTGTTACAAGTATTTTATACGAATGTTAACTGCATTACCATGTTTCATGAAGTTTTAATAAGTGTTTGTATGCTCTATCAGAAATATTGAGAGCAGCATTCATTATGCATAAATCAGTCTCTCCTAACAGACTTAAACCACATAAACCTAAAAAATCAAGCACACATATTGTATATTTACTTTTGTTAGGGAAAATGTTTGCACATATTCTATTTACTACATACCTAAGTATGTATGGAGGGGATCTGGAAAATAATCAGCAAACTTTGCAAATCCGCCTAAAATACTATCTTGAGTTTCAAGAAGGAATGCTCTATTCTCATCAGGGTCTGATAATTTGCTAATATCAAGCATTTCTAATGTTGCACCCACCCAAAAACTATAACAAGTATCAGAAGGCTTTCCAGGCCGTCCATGAAAGCCACCATCTTGCCTCATAAGACACCACCTTTTTAGACGGTTTAATTGATCCTCTGTCAACACATTATGAAGCTCGTTCATGAGAAATAGACTAGCTACAGCACAAAATGTAGATCCTCCATGTGATTCAAGACCAGGTCCTTGGCCCATTGCTCCATCATATGACTATAATCATTGTTGAGATATTGTGCTATGATAAAATTAAGTAGACAAAGCCAGTTTTTGTTAATATTCTTTATATGCAAAATAAAAATAAGAAAATATGGAAACTTACAATGCTCTGTAAAATGTAGTTAATAGCTTTTGTTTTGTCAATGCCTGACCAATCGTTTAAAATTGTAGATATACAACAAGCACAATAAAGAAACCTCATATCACTTTCACATCCTGTTATAATAGCTGTAAACGATCCATCTGGGTTTTGACAAGCTTGTATTCCTTCAACAATGGACTTTCTGTCGACTCTACTTAAATCATCTCCCAGAATACAAAGAGTAACTAATCCAATATATGTCATTGCTAAATGACCACATTGATATTTTGGAGCATCCTTTGGTATTGTTGTAGAAGACTGAAAGCCAGAACGTGGCCCAGCTCCCGTAATTTGAAGCCTATAGATCCAGTCTATTGCCCCTGATTTTGTTTCTTCACTAAGATCATCTAAGCAATTCAATATATCTAGTCCAGATATAGCAAAAAACGCTATAGCAAGCCTAGAACAATCATATTCTGCCGAATCACTAGGCATTATTTGCAATAACCTCTGTAAATATTTCGCATGCTTTTTCTTCGCTAATTCTGGTGGCATGCTGTGTCGTGTCGTTGTATAATAAAAAAAAATAATACTTCAAGTATACGCTGACGTATTGAACAGAAGTGTTACTTTTGAATTTGTTGTGCAAGTGGAAAAAGATCCCATTAGAATTATAGTAGGACCTACTAGAGAGCGCTTCAATTCTGAAACGATAAGAGTAGTTACTACTAGAGGGCGTCGAAAATAATTCGTTGAACGCACGCGTCACCGGCAAACTAGCCCTTTCTTGCGCACGCCGGACGTTCGCCGCAACACGCACCAGCCGCGAAAATTTCACAAACTACATACTGCCCCGGAAAACGGAGATAACGAGAAACACGCAGTAAGTTAAGTTTCGATTAACCGTATAAATCTGTCCGCTTCGTGAATACTTTCTCGCGGTAGTTTCTCTGGCTAGTACGGTAGCGCGTTGATTTGCGCGGAAGTAGTTTGTCGGAGGACGACGCAGGGTTCTCGTGGAAGCGGCCACTGAGGGCGCGGCATTCTTGTAATTGTTGCGCCCGGCTCCAACAGAATAACCAATAGGAGCCGCGGCAGCGCCGCCATTCTATCGAGTTCGTGGCACGCCCTACAACTTCCTCCATTGTCCTTCTTTCCGGGATTCTCTGCGAGGAAGGATGGCTCAGAACAATTATTTTGGGTTTACTCACGGCGGAACGCAATATGGGTACGAAATCGATTGCATACCATAATTATTAAGTAGCTAGTGTTAAGTTTATCGAAAAATCGTGGCGGTAACTACGTTGGCGGGAGTAATAACTGTTCGTTAAAATCGGTGCACGCGAGAGCCCAGCCGGCTTGGCCGCCATTTCTTGCTGAGAGTAGAGCGTCCATCGAGCGTCTCTCCCGGGCACGGATCCGATAGAGGTCTTTTTCGTTTTGCCCGTTTCCATTTTCCATTATATTTCTCGTCTGTAATTGAATCTATTGTTCTTTCGAACAGAGCGACCAGCGCAGCCGCTTATCAGACTGGTCAAGCGGGATACGCAGTAACTCCAGCGGCAACCGCCGCCACGTATACGCAACGACCCGCTGCCGCCGCGGCTACAGGTTACGAAACCTATCAAGCGGCCGCTGCTGCAGCCGCGACTGGAACCACGTACGCTGGTAAGCTCATTTTTATAAATTTTTATTTCCTTTCTTTCTTCTTCATTGTACGTAAACGTTTTCCATGCTCGTAACGTGGTATCGTGAAATCATCTATCTCTGTGTGTTTTTCTTTATAGCTGCTAATCCGGGTACTGTGGCTCAAACATACGATTACGGTTACGGACGTGCTGCACCGGCAGCTACATACGACGCTACTAAAACTTATTATCAGCAGCCTGCAGCAGCTGCAGCAACTTATACAACTACTGAAACACATTATCAAGCTGCAAAACCTGCGTATAGTACAACTAGTGCTTATACAGGCACAGCAAGACAAGCTACTACTACTGGACAAGCTAAAACGTACCAAGCATCGAGTACAGCTTATCAGCAATCTAACCCTACCCAAAGTGCTACCTATTCATCAGGATATACAGCACCAGCTACACCTGCTGCTACACCATCAACAGCGACAAATAGTAAGTTTTCATGGAATAATATGTTACATATAAGTATATGTTAATGTTTTTCGCCAAAATTTATAATCCTATGTAAATGTCCTGCTAACCGTGATGTAGGCACTAATAACATGAAATTGATCCTCTGGCTATTCAAGTTGATATATATGAATGATACATGAAATTCTGTTAACATTTTAAGCCATGACATGGTTTAAAAGTTTAGCAGAAATACATTTTTATGAAAATTACAAAATTTGTATAGAGACTTTTGAATAATACACAACATACTTGGTAAATATATTTCATCAAAAGAATGAAGTATTCATTTTGATGGGTACAAGTTAGTAGAATGGTTCCATGAATACAAAGGATTGACTCCTCCAAAGTTTGAGGTTTCAATTTCATTTCCCTTAGAAACGGCGAGTACAACGTATTCCGGCTACGACGCAGCGCTATATAGCGCTGCGACTATGTATGTAGCCCAACAGAGTGCAAACAGCAATTCAACTAACCAGAAGACTGGAGGTTGGCAGGGCTACGGACGGAAGGGATTTGGCACTGGAGGGGGAGGGATGAAGGCAATGCGGCCCAAGCAGCCCCCCAAGCCTCAACAACTACACTATTGCGATGTCTGTAAGATCAGCTGTGCTGGACCTCAAACGTACCGTGAGCATCTAGAAGGACAGAAACATAAGAAGAAGGAAGCTTCTCTGAAGGTACCACAGCAACCACCACCACGTGGGGCAGGCAACAGTCTACGTTGCGAACTTTGCGATGTTACTTGTACCGGAAACGATGCATATGCTGCTCATATCAGAGGTGCTAAACATCAGAAGGTTGTAAAATTACACACAAAACTTGGGAAACCAATACCAAGCGCAGATCCAACTGTTTTGAATCCAAAACCAGCAGCAGCAGCAGCTAAAACTGCAGGAACTAAAAAACCTACAGTAACAGCTACTCCTAAGATCAATTTTGTAGCTTGTAAGTGTTGCTTGTTGCTTTTTATACTTTTTTTCTAAGATTTTAGTTATAGTATTATTACTATTAATATCACAATGCTTACAGCTGGTAATTTAGGAACTGTAAATCAAAATCAGACTGCAGAAACTAAACCGGAAGAAACTGCAGCTGAGGAAACTGTAGAGGAAACAGCTGTAGATGAGAAAGATATTCAACCAGTTGGTCAAGAGTATATAGAGGAAAACAAGTCAGAAGATGGAAAAATCATAAGCTTTAATTGCAAGCTTTGTGAGTGCAGGTTCAATGATCCTAATGCCAAAGATATGCACATGAAAGGAAGGCGGCATAGGTTCGCATATAAGAAAAAAGTGAATCCTGATTTGGTTGTTGATATGAAACCAAGTCTTAAACAAAGAAAAATGCTGGAAGAAAAATTACGTAGGCAACAAATGCGGGACGAGTACCTACGCCGTAGGGAGGAAATCAATCAATTAGGACCAATGGGTCCAATGATGGACGAAGAAATGATGTATTGGGAAGAAAGACGACGTTATGAAGAAGAATGTGAATATTACGAATGGTATCGACGTTATGGACGAGGACCTGGAGCTCCGCCAATGCCACGTCCTTTCCCAGGACCACCACCAATGATGATGTTCCCTGGACCACAGAGGAGGCCAGATTCATCCGATGACAAACATGTGTTAGCTCATCATACCACTATTTATCCTAAAGAACAGGAACTGCTGGCAGTTCAGAAAATTGTTTCACATACTGAAAAAGCATTGAAGTTTGTTTCTGATACATTAGCAGAAGCCGGTAATTACTTGCTCGCTTTTTATTAATTTCATATTTTCTATTATATGTTTATAACAAAATCGAGATATTGGAATTGCAGGCAAGAAACCAGCACCAACTACCACCAATGCCACACCATCAACTACAATTACACCTGCAGCACAGCAACAGCAGCAGCAGCAGCCACAACAACAGCAGCAACCAAATGCTGATGCAGTAAAAACAAAAGAAGATCCCGATAAGAAAAAAACAACAACACCGCAGAAAGAAGATGGTAGCGATGGAAATTTATTCTCATTCCAAAAGGAAAAAGAAGATTCAAGGATATTAAGGGGTGTGATGCGTGTTGGTAATTTGGCGAAAGGGCTTTTATTGTCTGGTGATAACCATGTTTGTCTTGTGGTTCTGTGTGCGGAAAAACCAACACGGTTAGTTGAAAAATCATTCTGGCAAATTATTCTATATAAGTCTCACATATAAATATTTTCGTAAATTGTTTTCTTTTACAGGACATTATTGAACAAAGTTGCTGAAATTCTTCCGGCACAGTTGAAGATTGTAGCTCCCGAAGATACTTACAATGTTGGAAAACATCCAGAATCAGCTGCATTGACTGTTTCAGGAGGCAGCGTGACTGTTAGCGTAACGCTTACCAGTCCTTTAATGCGTGAAACGCCTAAACCAGCAGCAGCTGCAGGTGATTTGATCGTTTTATATTTTCGTGGTGGCCAAGAAAAGGATAACTGTAATAATTTTAGAAATTTTACAGAAAGCACCTTTATTTTCATGCTGCTTTTCTCGAACACGTGGTTTATGAATTTCGTTTGTTCTTTTCATGGCCCGAAAAGCTTCTTTGTAAATTTTTTTAAGCACCAGGATGATGCAGGGGCAGCCACGGACTTCAACGGTTGCCAGTGTATATACGCTCTAACATACAAAATTCCTTTCCTTTTTCAATACAGCTGCATTTTAGTGTGTCCACGACTGAGAGTATGATTCACACAATTTTAAAAAGCACTGACAAAAAGCAAACAAAAAAATGTAAGAGCGTACATAGAAATATAATTAACAGCCATTTTTTAACGGAAAAGAGAGAGCGTAAACTTGATACGATTAGTCGTCGCATTTCTTCGTTTTAAGTTAATTTGTAGTAGTATAATTTTATAAGTTCCACCGATAATAGTTAAGCTGGAGTCTCCATTAAGGAAGAGAATATATGCTAGTACGAACGTGGACACGCTTTTGGTATGAGGAAAACAACGCTGAGGCAATCTTAAAACTATGGACTTTTTGATCATGCATTGATAATTTAAAAAGAAAACCCTCTATCATCGAATGCCGTACACCATAATGTACAATGTACTGTCGACTCCTTATTCTCTAACCGATGATTCTTTTGATAGCGTTACTTCAACGTTCAATTTCGAGTAACGCTGTCAATGTGAACAAGAAACGTCGGTCGTTCTTTTAAAAACTTGTTATGCGAAAAAGGACGTCCACGAATAGGAGTGACGCATCATTGTTTGTGTACTACATTCGATTTAGGTTTATTTTTGTTTCAATGAGAATGTTTTAGGCTATGCCCTCAAGTTTAATGCACTTGAGTTAAAATATAATTATATATATATATACATATATATACATAGAGGGAAAACCCAAGTTGGGCATGATCAAACACTCTAAGTGTTGTCTAAGCGTGTTGTGCTTTCTTTGTTGGAATCTCAGATAATGCTGGACAGCAGCAACAGGGAGCTGCACAACCGCAAACAACGCCCGCGGCGCCCGCCTTGACGAAACCAGATCCACCAGATGTACTTCCCAAGGCTAAGTGTTTGGAGGCTTTAGCTGCACTCAGGCATGCCAAGTGGTTTCAGGTTTGAATCAATCAACTCTCAGTTCAAGAATCTCGAATTGTCGGTGCCATTTTGTTGGTACTAACGACTGTTTTCTGTTATTTTTTCCTGTTACGCGAAACGCGTGCAAGTTGTCCTCTCTCTCTGTCCGCAAAAAAGAGCAGTCTTAGAACTTCCAGCCTTGTGACGATTTTATTTTTATTACCATCTATCTTCTTGTTGATATGATTTTGTCTGAAACGTTTATTTGATCACGTTTGACGTTTGACAGCTTTTATACGTCTGCCAATCCACTTTATCCACTAAGGTTTTATTTTCTAAGAAATGTTGAAGGTCTTTGTAGTACAAAAATTTATTTGTAATTTGTAATCTACAATAGATAAAATAAGTGGATGGTAGTGGCAACATTTAGGTATTGGCAGTTTGATTTACAAAAGAAAAAATAAATAAAAAAAAAGGATAAAAAAGAAGTATATGTACAGCATAATTTCGAAAAAAGAAGGAAGCATCGAACGTGCAATCAGATAGTCTCAGGCAAGAAGTTTAAGCATTATGTAAGTGTGAATTATAGCATTTAAAATAACAATGCGCATCAAAAGCATTTACATTTGCTTTACTTGAAATCATCAACATCCAGAATAATAGGAAACTACAGATAATCGTTTAAGAATACATAATAAAATCGTTTTGTTTATAATACACTACTAAACTGCTTCGTGATGCTTATGATCAAGCTTATTCATTATTCTGGATTAATCTTAATGCATTGTAGCCTAGACTGAGTCTGTTCTAGGTCTGTCTTAGATGTTCTTAAAGTTAGTGTAATTGTTCTTCATAAATATGTACTTCTGTTTAATACTTTCTACGCAATGTGCGTTGTAAGCACTGTTAAATAATTGAAAGACAGACAAGCACAAACACACAGTGGTGTCATAAGTATATCGGGTGTTTTTCGATTACGAGTTCAAGAGATATATTTGGCACATTAACAAGTGCGCAGTTTATTCTGATATGTTGTACGTTTTTTTTTAAATATTATGTTAGGTATTAATTGTTCAGGAAATGCTTAATAAACACCCGATAATTTTGATATGGGCTAATATTTAGGAGCTATTAGGCACGAGGCTGGGAGGATAGCTAAAGCCCACACAAAGCAAATTAAAAAGTAGTTTAGGGCGTCGCATCTCCAGAAGACTCAGAGATTTTAATGTGTATATTAAATTGTATGTACTAAAGTACTGATCGTATTTAACAGGCTAGAGCAACTTCGCTGCAGAGCTGTGTTATGGTTATTCGCATAATGCGTGATCTTTGTAACCGTGTACCTACTTGGGGACCATTAAACCCATGGGTTAGTATTAAATACTATTTTATCAAATAAATACCTTAATTTAATAATAAGTAATACAAAAATTGAACGTTCAATAATTCTTTTAGGCATTGGAACTGCTAACTGAAAAAGTGATCAGCACTGCTGGAGGACCTCTCAGTCCAGGTGAAGCTTTAAGAAGACTTCTAGAATGTGTTGCTGGAGGAATATTGCTTCCAGGAAGTCCAGGTGTGTATTATAATAGGTTGTCATTAATTTAGAGAACAAGTAAAAAGGTTTATATTTTTCAAATTATACTTGGAACAAAAAAAATGATGATACTGATGACGAGACTGAGCATACTGTGAACTCCTTTGTAGATGCTTAAATCGAGTTTTTCGGTTTTTGTGTCTCATTGGAATTCTTCGCAGTATTGCGTAGATGATTTGGCAATCTGATTTTTATGTTTTATACACAACATTTTGTACAGTTTGTGTTAAAACATAGTAACTATAAATGACATATTTTTGTACAGGATTGTCTGATCCATGCGAGAAGGAACCAGTTGACGCAATAGGCAATATGACAGCCCAACAAAGAGAAGATATAACTGCTTCGGCGCAACATGCTTTACGATTAGTCGCATTTCGTCAAATCCATAAAGTTCTGGGTATGGAACAACTTCCACCACCTAAATATAAAGGCCGATTCGCTAGGAAACGAAGACGTGACAACAGTAACGGAGAAGGAACAGATAGTGAGGCTTCGAAAAAAGATAAAAAAGCAGAGGAGATCAAAATGGAGATAGACTCCAAGTAGATCTACCAAAATATTCGCTTTATCGATTTACTCATAACTTATATAGTATAAGAAACAAATTTTTTCTCGTGTCAATTGCTTGTTCAATGAAATGTTTCTGTACTGGAAAGATGTCAAAATTTAGAGCAAGACTAATTGATCTATTAATATGACGTTATAATTATTTGGAGTGTAAGAATCCTCTTGGACAATTTAGTGGCATTGTTTTAATTCGCAATCATAATTTTAGTGGCGAAAGATATATCGAACTAGGTCAGATTACGTCATTGTACCTTGACTTTGTTTTTGAACGTACAATAAAATATCGTCAAGTTGTAGCGTTGTTTTTACTAGTACTAAGTTCAATATTTTAATGACAAAAATTATGTATTGCTTCGTTTGTTATAAGCAGTTTTATTTTTAAGCAAGTTCCGAGTATCTTGAAAGTAAGAAATGCAATATTTCAAATTTAATTTGTTAATTTCAGTTTATGTAAGCACTACTTCAGTGTTATTATGAAATATGGATGCTGTTACTTTTAAGGTGAATAAGAAAAGAACTTCTTGCAACTATTTTATTGCAGGTGTTTGAAAAGATCTTTCCCAAACAGGCAATTGGTACGATTAGTTCCAGCACTAGGATTTTGTCGAAGGAAAATGATGAATGCGTTAATTAGTTTGAATTACTTATTTAGCTATATTTCAGTCACAATGTATGATGAAGTTTAATAGAAAGGGCGGTAAAAAAAAAAGAAACTGAACATTTATAAGTTTTTGAAGTTAAGAGTAGGTTAGTTTGTATTGAGAATTCGTGTGTATGTTGTGTGTGTAGTCGTAAAGAAGTGCAGAATGTTTTCCTGCGCTAAACAACTGTCTTAACACCGTATGTTCACGTCGCAGAAGATTCCAAGAAAGCAGAGTTGCAAATCGATTATTAAAATAGACGCTTTGCTGTCCAATGAGGGTTAAGTGCACGTGTCCAGAATTCTTAATATTTTGCTGTAGTTTTGTTTAAAAAAAATATCACACGAAGTCGAATATTACTTCAAAATGTTCATATTTAATCAGTTCTTTCTGACACAGTGTATGGATCTTCTGTTGTACACATGCAAATCCTCTTTGAATAAATCGAACATGCATGAGATAAGTATAAGGTTTTCTTCACTTCCATATTCCTCTGCATATTTAGTATTGTATAAGAGCTTTTCAACAATTAAGACGAATTAATAAGAATCCTCTTTAGTAAGAAGGCCACACACACAATAGCACTCTGATTGTATGATTATGATTACTAGCTAATTTTTTACATGAACAAACACTTGACATACAAAGAAAGTTAATTTATTTTTGGATGGCACCGAGCAGAACTGAGACTGATATTGTATTAATTTTTTAATAAAGGTATTAGGAAATAGCATGCAAAATTTTAAAAAATTCATTTAAATTAAGAATGTAATTTCTATAAATTATGAGTATAATTTCATATAACGGTGATTCTGTTTGGTGCAAACTAGTATTTTCAAGTAAAAGTGTTTAATGATCTAATTTCATAATTTCAATATTTTACAATTCCGTATTCTGTAGACGTAATACGGTTACTTTAATCTCTGAATGAACTGGCACATGCTTTAAATCTACATAAAATCGTCAAGCACTAGGCCACTTTCATTTCCTACTTTACAGTATTAATTAAAGTATACTTGTACATATTTAACTGCATGGTATGTGTACTTTTAATTTATTATCATCTTTTGAACCAAATATTAATGTAACGTAATGCGCTATACATTTGCAGGTATTTTACAAAGAAAATTCGCAAACTTTCTCCGTTCAGTGTTTAAAGCCTGTTAAAACATATATGTGTGTAGAGCCTTGAGGAATTTTGATTATGAATAATACGTATTATTTTTTTTCAGTATTAAGAATTCAATAATGTTATTGAAAGTAAGGTGGGAGTTACGTTATATTTTTTTATATATATAGAAAACCACATCAAACGTTCGCCGTGCCACTCTACTTACACGTTATTTTTAAGAACAATATCCGATTTGTTCCACATGACAAAAACTGTTTCATATTTTCTTATGAAACGTGTTCGAAAAATAAAGGTAAATAAATTTATATTGTTCTTAGAATTTAGATATAAAGTCTGCGAGTTTTCATTTTCTTCTTTTCTTTTTCAATGACTTGTAATTATTGATAAATTACGTAATTGTGTAGTTGACCAAAAAATGAATTACTTCGATGTTAATAATGAAACATTAAAAAAAATGTATATAGTTTATCATAAGTAAATGCCTGTTTTCGAAATTGTCATGTATTTCATGTAAAACAATCATATAAACAGAATTTTAATCTACTTTCACTAGTCATGATTAATCTAGTTGTTTTCTTTTGTCTTTTCATTTGAAATATTAGCTTTATTAGTAAAAGCAAAATATCGAAGATTCAAAATTATTTTCCTTACAATTTGCTAAAAATATTTGGTAAGGTATATCGTAGAAGACTTCCACAAGTAATTGAGAAAATAACTGGTTCTTTTTTTAAAACAATACATATTAATTACGTTGTCTCATGTAACATGTGTATGTTTAAAGTTCTTAAACACTCATTTAAATATGTATTAATAATAATGTATATACATGACCTTTAAATAAAATTTAATTATTTTCGAATTAAAAAATTCGTTAGTTTCAAGATTGTTGCATCATCTTAATGTGATGAAAATTTAATGTAATATGATTATGAGCTGCAACATGATTAATGAATTCTTTTCTATGTTAATTTTACGTAATTTTAACTTTCGAAATTATTATAATACCAAAATTATTTATATCGTGTGAAAACGTATAATTCATATTCTAAACATAACCTATCCGTAGTATATTCACGTAGATTCTTAATTTTTGCATCGTAGTAACTCGTAGTAACTGACTTATACTTAGCATAAATGTAAAAAATAACGAATTTACTGGAAAAAGCGTCATTGTGAAAAACAACGAATCATCACTTTCTTTTGTTTAATACTTTTCCGTGCGCCCTCTAGCCATTTATTATTATCAAAATGTGACAGTTCAAGAAAAAATATATATAAATCAAATTTCCAGTTGAAAAAAATACATTATTACAAAAATAACGATGTATTATAAATAATTTTAAAAAAAAGAATAGTTTAACAAAATTTACTATACAAAGAATACTCTTTGTCTCAGAAACCAATCGAACGTAACTGGTACGTCAGAAAATCAATGACAGTAAGAAAATATAATCCAATAGGCGTCTTTCTAGAAATCTTCCGACGTATCTGCGCATGATCAATACGACTCTACCACTGACATAAAAGGAACGTTCGCTGTGTGCTCTGTGCAGTTCTTCCGAGCATTTCAAAGTGATTTGTGAGGAAGAATACAAGATTTCTAAAATTTTGTTGAAAATTTTTGCTGCATTGTAAGCTACTTCTAAAGGAGGTAAGAATCTTTATATTGTGGCTGGCACATCTCCAGCTTTTCCAGAACAAACCATCAGTCAAGAACTTCTGCATTGTATATAATGAATTTTTCTTTTTTATTTAAAATTTATTGTCTCATAAATATTTGTAATTTTAAATGCTTTTATCTTTTATTTCATTTTGAAAAAGAAAAGGCTATGCAATAAAGTATTGATTGTGGCTATTGTAGCCTTGAGGGCGTGAACCGCAGATTTTGAATAGAAATCTATTTTTAAAGTAGTTTCGAAACACTGCTTATTATAGACATAAAGCATATACCAATTCAGTAGTAAAATTTCGAAATGTAAGAAACAAAACCTAATATTTCATGTAAAGGAAGTCTTAATCATACCAATAAACCGTTGCCTTTCTACTGCGTAGTAACCGAGAACAAAATGGCCGTTATTGATTAGGCCAACGCGACGCCATTATTACTAATGACATTTTACGATCATAGATTACAGTTTCTTATATGTTCGACAAAATATGGCAATAAATATAGGAGGAAAAAATTTTTTGAATACAGTGATTGTATTGCACGGCAATAGCATACTACGGAAAATGTTAATTCAAACTAACGTTTTTTAATTTTTTTTTTTTACCAGATAATCATGCAGATCTTTGTCAAGACATTGACTGGCAAAACAATAACCCTCGAGGTTGAAGCATCCGATACAATTGAAAATGTGAAGGCAAAAATTCAGGACAAGGAGGGAATTCCCCCAGATCAGCAAAGATTGATTTTTGCTGGCAAACAACTTGAAGATGGAAGAACACTCTCTGATTACAACATTCAAAAAGAGTCAACACTTCACCTTGTACTTCGATTGAGAGGTGGAATGCAAATTTTCGTCAAGACCCTTACGGGAAAGACGATCACTTTAGAAGTTGAAGCTTCAGATACCATCGAAAATGTTAAAGCAAAAATTCAAGATAAGGAGGGTATTCCACCAGACCAACAGAGATTGATTTTCGCTGGTAAGCAACTTGAAGATGGACGCACACTCTCTGATTACAATATTCAAAAAGAATCAACTCTCCATCTTGTACTTCGACTCCGAGGTGGAATGCAAATTTTCGTTAAAACTCTCACGGGAAAGACGATCACTTTAGAAGTTGAAGCTTCTGATACAATTGAGAATGTTAAAGCAAAAATCCAAGATAAGGAGGGTATTCCACCAGACCAACAGAGATTGATCTTCGCTGGTAAGCAACTTGAAGATGGACGCACACTCTCTGACTATAACATTCAGAAAGAATCAACCCTTCATCTTGTACTTCGACTTCGAGGTGGAATGCAAATTTTCGTCAAAACCCTTACGGGAAAAACTATTACTTTAGAAGTTGAAGCTTCTGATACGATTGAGAATGTGAAGGCAAAAATTCAGGACAAGGAAGGTATTCCACCTGATCAACAGAGATTGATTTTCGCTGGAAAGCAGCTTGAAGACGGACGCACACTTGCAGACTATAATATTCAGAAGGAATCAACTCTCCATCTTGTACTTCGACTCCGAGGTGGAATGCAAATTTTCGTTAAAACTCTCACGGGAAAGACAATCACTTTAGAAGTTGAAGCTTCTGATACAATTGAGAATGTGAAGGCAAAAATTCAGGACAAGGAAGGTATTCCACCTGATCAACAGAGATTGATTTTCGCTGGTAAGCAGCTTGAAGACGGACGCACACTTGCAGACTATAATATTCAGAAGGAATCAACTCTTCATCTTGTTCTGCGACTTCGAGGTGGTATGCAAATTTTCGTCAAGACCCTTACCGGAAAAACTATTACTTTAGAAGTTGAGGCTTCAGATACCATTGAAAATGTAAAGGCAAAAATCCAAGATAAGGAGGGTATTCCACCAGACCAACAAAGATTGATTTTCGCTGGTAAGCAACTTGAAGATGGACGCACACTTTCTGACTATAATATTCAAAAGGAGTCAACTCTCCATCTTGTACTTCGACTCCGAGGAGGAATGCAAATTTTCGTCAAAACCCTTACTGGGAAAACTATTACTTTAGATCAGATACCATCGAAAATGTTAAAGCAAAAATTCAAGATAAGGAGGGTATTCCACCAGACCAACAAAGATTGATTTTCGCTGGTAAGCAACTTGAAGATGGACGCACACTTTCTGACTATAATATTCAAAAGGAGTCAACTCTTCATCTCGTTCTGCGACTCCGAGGAGGAATGCAAATTTTCGTCAAAACCCTTACTGGAAAAACTATTACTTTAGAAGTTGAAGCTTCTGATACGATTGAGAATGTGAAGGCAAAAATTCAGGACAAGGAGGGCATTCCACCAGACCAACAAAGATTGATTTTCGCTGGTAAGCAACTTGAAGATGGACGCACACTTTCGGACTATAACATTCAAAAGGAGTCAACTCTTCATCTCGTTCTGCGACTCCGAGGAGGAATGCAAATTTTCGTCAAAACCCTTACTGGAAAAACTATTACTTTAGAAGTTGAAGCTTCTGATACGATTGAGAATGTGAAGGCAAAAATTCAGGACAAGGAGGGCATTCCCCCAGATCAGCAAAGATTGATTTTCGCTGGTAAGCAACTTGAAGATGGACGCACACTTTCTGACTATAATATTCAAAAGGAGTCAACTCTCCATCTTGTACTTCGACTCCGAGGAGGAATGCAAATTTTCGTCAAAACCCTTACTGGAAAGACGATCACTTTAGAAGTTGAAGCTTCAGATACCATTGAAAATGTTAAAGCAAAAATCCAAGATAAGGAGGGCATTCCCCCAGATCAGCAAAGATTGATTTTCGCTGGTAAGCAGCTTGAAGACGGACGCACACTTGCAGACTATAATATTCAGAAGGAATCAACTCTCCATCTTGTACTTCGATTGAGAGGTGGAATGTAAATTTTTGTAAAAATTCAATGAAAAAACCATGATTTTAGAAGTGTGGTCGTATACTTTCCGAATATAATATTAAAAATTAATTGGCTCGTGGTACCTAGTACCCTTGGTACTCGGTACTTGGTACTATTTCGCCTGTGCAGTAATCGATTATTCCACATCTTGATCTCGTTTTAATATGAAAAATTATATCAAATAGTAATGAATTTTTTTAGTTTTGTTCATAATAGCAATTGATAATGTGATAATTATGTTAATAATATACTGTGACAAATAAAAGTGCATATTAAAAATACACTTTTCTAAGTTATATATTCCTGTGTCCCGTGTATCATGTATAGAAATCATTTTATTATTTAAGAAAATACTTAGACCAAAACTAATAATTTAAAAAAATGCCACATTTATCTAATACTCCATATTTTATACTCACTTTTTATATTTTTTAAGATTGATTTTGCTTGATTTGAATTTCAATCTCTTGGTAACATTTCTGTAGTCGATATTTACTTCTGATTGTGGCATGCAGATGTCGCGCTTGAAGTCTGCCAGCTTCGTTTGCAGAAATGAACATTACATCGTTATCCAGTGTGGATTATAATTATATTAAGTTTGTTCAGTACTGATTAAATACACGGAGAAAATTCTACTACGTTTCTGTAAGTTGTTTGTTACCTCTTTTTTTAAATATGAAACTAGGCTTTTATACGTATAACATTAGTATTAGATTTTGTGGAAATTTCTATTTATTTCACATTTACATTTTATACGTAAATTGTAACATAATTGTATATTTCTATCTATGATTAAATAAATAGCTATACCACAGTTTTTTCTCAAATCAAAGTATTATTGCAGAACGATAACATAGGTGATGCAGTTTATTAAAAAAGATATCTAGTTCCAAAAATCAAGCAAAAAGTCGAATTACAATATCCTTTGCATTAATATTATAGAAACATATTCTGTTAAAATATTTCACAAAGAATATCGATTACGTTATACTAAAATATTAATAAATACTTATAAAGCTATAAAAACTAAATAACAGAACTTTAATCAAGTAATTCTGCAACAAGTATTCCTTTCACTATATTTCGATCTTGAATCGATTAGAATTACACGATGATTCTCAACGAACGTAAACTACAGTATATACTAATTTCTAAACCATTCAAAAAGCGTGCATTTGTTCGATGTATTCGTCTTTCTCGGGTGTATAACTTGTAATTTGTAAATCGCAATAATCCAAACGAGAATATAAGCATGCTACTCGAGCTGCTCGTCGTGTTTTCTCCAAATTGAACGAAATTGAACAGAGCGACGTGCAGCGGCCGGTGCCACTGGCGACGTACGGTCGGTCTACAATTATTTATACTTCAGCTGGCCCGATTCATGCGCGCGGCAATTCGATTAAAATTTTCACGCGCTGATGAGATGTAAACGAATTTTCGAGCGTTCCACCGCCCGGCCTGTAGTTTAATATCATCGTTGAAATTACGAGAATTGCCGTTCGTTCGGTTTTGCCGTACTTAAAACCTTCGTACGTGCAAATACTATACAGCGTTTTAACGTTGCATTCAAGCAATGCGTTAGCACCGAGACGTTTCCAGAATATCGCGGAAATTTCGTTCGGTTATTTGCCTACGTCAAAGGCGTTTTACAACGTACAACTGTTTAACGTAAATTTAACCATTTTAGGTTAGAAAAATATATTCGCGAACATACTGGTAATTACAAAAAATTTGCTAAAATTTGAATTTGATGTTTTTTCCCGGGATATTTTGTGTCGAATCTATTTGTTACTACGTGTGACTATTTTTGCGAAATAGTTGATCATTTTTTCAAATACACAAAGGCAAAACTCGAAGATTTCAAAATGAAAAATACGGGAATCAGATGAATTACGTTTTTATTTAATAAACAACAACCTCGGAGTTTGGTCGTTCAATTTTTTACTTATAATTGTTACAAGTGAATTATACAATTTCGTAGTAATATATTTCGTTATTTTATTTCTCATCGTAACCTTTCCTTCCAATTCGATCGCATAAATGACAATTATTACACGGAGTATCGCAGGCATTTTCAATTACAACCTAATTGTAATTGAATGTCGCATAAGCGGCAATGGGAAATGAATTTTTCGTATTCTCGCGGCACTAGTTATCATTCGAAACGGCGCCTTTCACCGCTTAATCGCATTAACTCGTTTCTCAGCTCTCTGTTCTAATTAATTTTGCCTCGTTTCGAGTCCACCCCGGGAATAATGCTTTCGGTGTATCTAAGTAACTATAATTTTCATTACAAAGGACACGTTCCCTCTGTCTACGTCTTGCTACTGTAACGTGTACACACGTGACATACAGTTATCACGAATGGAAATTTTTACATCTTCACGTTCACCGTCTTTTCTTTTCCTTCTTCTTTTTTCAATTATTTTATCACACTTCGCGATACACCGCCCAGGTTGTCAAGAAGAAAACGCCGCGTGGTTTCAGCGTAATTTACATCGCGATAAAGCGTGCAATTAACTTTCTCGTGGGGCCGGATTAAAATTTTGATTAAATCGTATCGTCTGTGTAATTAACGCGAATGTAATTCGAGTTTCGGTGGGAAATACTGTTAGATAAGTTCCCGTGTAAATACGAGTTATTTTGCCTGGTAAATTGTTAACGAGGATGAAAATTAGTTTTGGGGAAATGTGTAAAAACAGCGCTCGTAAATCGCCGGATGAATCTTCATTTTTCTCTCTCTCTCTCTCTCTGTCTGTATCTATTGTACCTTCGTGTATTTGCAACATTTCTATTGTTATTTGCAATTCGCCTACTTTGAAACGGTAAATTACATTACCACGTTACTGCTGTTTTTAAATTTGAATGCAAAACAACGATGTGGCAATTTTTGAAAGTTACAATTTTTTCTGAATTGGACCAACAAATTTCATTTGTGCTTTACACACTTCTATCGCATCGAAATAATAACACAGAAGCTTTTTGGTATTTCGGTTAATTATAAAAGAATTAGGGCGATGCTTTTTCGTTATGAAACGTGATTTATCGTACTTTAGTATTATACGTATTGTTAGTTCATCGAATATTGCAATAAAAATTCATCGAAATTATATCGACTCACAGTATCACACAAATATTCCTACGATCGACACAAATGAATCTTTCAAATATTCGTAGTACAATGTTCATACGATTCGTATTAAAAATATTTCAAATATCCACATTTTTCCCGCGCCGCGTTTAAAAGTTATTTAATATTTGTGGAACTGACTGTACCTCACCTACCAATCCCTCCAAAAATGAATATGTCCAATAGAAAATTCGAATACAAAAGAACAATACAGAAAATTTTCAATCTGATCCAAACGTTCATTCGCATCGTTACAAACTTCTACTTTCTATCAAAACAGTAGCCCAGGAGAATACTTCGATATTTCCAATTGAAATTCGTATTGAAAAAAGGAACCAACCTTACCGACCGAAGAATATCCAAAAACTCGCCCCCGTATCGTTCTATCTAACAATCTTATCTCTCTTCTCGCTCGGCTGCGTTAGGTCCTCCAGAATGAGGAACGAAAGAGACAGAGAGGAAGAAAGTCCTCTGAAAGATCCGCGATAATCCTCGCAACGGTTCCCCGCGCGAGGACACGGCGAGGCACGGCACGGCGTGTCTCACGGCGGACCGTGTATCGCGTGTTGCTTAATGGTGGAAGGAAACGTTATCCAGAGGCGGGCAATGGACGGGCATTACTGTACGGCGTACCCTGGTAGGGCCGAGAGAAGTCAGCCTCCGGGATATGGACTCGTACTCAGTCTTCGAACTGGTCTCGTACCGCGCTCTCTATGCAGCGTGTCACACAGCCCCGCGAACAGCGGCTGCTTAGTTAACAACACCGCGTGTCGCTTCGCTCTTCGTCGTGTGGCCCTCCTTGTGCTCGTCTTCTCGTTCGCTATACAGTGTCTCGTCTCGTCTCGTACAGTGTAATATCTTCATTCTACCAATACCGCTTCTCTTCATCCTTCTTCTTCTTCTTCTTCTTCTTCTCCTTCTCCTCCTCCTTCTCCTCCGTCTATTTTTCCCTCCAAAAACGCAACAGAATTCCTTCTCGCAGAGATATTCCTCCTCTCTCTTGCAAACGTTTCACCATAGTAAGCCGCGAAGAACCGGAGGACTCGTTCGGTTTCTCGTTCGATTTTTACCTGTGGAGAACACGTAGAGTGGTTAATACGTTGAACAGTATATAAGAAACATTTGTGTGATAGCGACAAGAGTGGATTTAGAAGGAGAGAGAAGAGAGGGTCTGTGGATCAATCGAGGATGAGACAGAGGCAGGGTTGAGTTGAATCCACTGGATGCTGAAAAGGAACCGACGATGGACCTTCTTTTCTTGATCGGATTGCTGCTCCCGCTGATATCAGGTAAGACGGATATTCTTATATTTCTATCGGTCTATTGTTCGTATCGAGGATGGATCGTGCGTACGAGGTTTATGTTACGGTGAAAAGGAGGAAATATTTCGAGAGACGAATGGACACACGGTGATTCTGAATGGAGAATTGTACAGCTAATAGCTACACATACGTTAAACGTTTAGAGATTAAATACGTACCTAATGCTCTTGTGGAAAATTGTACAAGTTGCACACATATATTTAAAAAAAAAAAAACACACGAACGGTGAACTTTCTCGGTTTTCGCAGAATATCCGGTGTCTCGTGGCGAACAGCTATTCACGTGCGTGTTGTTGTTCAAATGTTCTTTTACTTTGATCAGTTTTTTTCTCTCTTTCTTTCCTTGCTTCTTTTTTTTGGTTTCATTGAGTCGTATTAGTTTTCGTTTCAATGTGAAAGATACACACCGTAGACAGAACGATCGACTCGTTATCCACTGCAGAGTTCTTTGATGATTCCACCGTCGATGAATTTAATTGCTACCAACCTCGAGTGATTAATTTCGCGAGCGTTGAAATATTTATTCTTCGCGCCGCTCGAGAAGTACCGATAA